GCTTTTCTTTTTCCCTGCTCTCTTCTTCCTTTCCTTTTAATCTTCTTTTGCAACTTAAACAACATTTGCAGTCCTTTCTGCTTTTCCTATAGACTGCGGTGATATTTTAAATTTAATAATTTTTCACTTAGATTCCTGGAATGTACTAAAATGAATACTTTTACACTGTCTGCAATTTCATCATAAATCTAGTCTTCAATCCAGACATACAACCAGCAAGAACATCAGTGTTTCTCTGTAGAAAATTAGCCTCAGAAAAGAGCTTACATACATACAATTTCATATGACATGTATTTACCTAGGTTAATATAGAAACTTTGCTGATAATAACATCCTTCAGGTGAAGTTCAAAGAGAAAACTCCATTCAGTAACCAAAATTACTGAATTGTCATATTGTTCCTCTGAGGAGTCTTGGTGGCACAATGGTTAAGTGTTTGCTAATCAAAAGGTAGGTGATTCAAACCACGCAGCAACTCCAAGGAAGACAAACTTGGCAAATATGCTCCCATAAAGGTTACAAGCCTAACAACCCTACGCAGGTTTAGTTCTCTCTATCACACGTGGTCACAATGACTGAAAAACGGATGTATCAGCACCGAAACAACAATAACAACAGCGTTCCACGACTCAATTCCAAACGTCAGGACAACAGACAACAGAGAAGGGTTTAGAAAACATTTTCAAATACCCCAATTGGCAATCAAGATTTAGAAACAACTTCTAAAATAATGAATTTGATAACTGTGCCATTAATTATTGAATTAAATAATAGTGAAGGTTATAGAAATTTAGAGAGGCACTTCATCTTGCGAGCTAAATTTCTAATCACTTCCCCATTTGTTACTGGCAAAATCAGAGCCAGAGAAAAGACAACTAAAAATTCTAATTAAAACTGATTCCTGAGGAACATCTCTATTTACCAGAGGGGTCATTACATTTAGAGAATAACATGAGGTTTCATCAATTTAGATTCCTGAAAGCTTAGATCCAAAAATTTCTGATCTGGTTGAGTCCTATATTCTGTACAGAACTCGGTTTATTTACCTTTAGAATGGGAAAAGGTGACGCAGTTATGAGTAGTTGCTAATAAAAACCTATTTGCCCCTGGCAGAAATACAAATGCTTGTTGATAATGATCATTACCCCAGACCTCAATTTTCATGTCTCCATTAAAATTCCAGGGCTCAACTATCAAGTTCCCAGATTCTACTAAAAAAAAACACACAAAAGATTTGGAAAATCTCTGTAGTCAACTCCATGAGACAACATTATCCTCTTCTGTACCTCATTTCATTTTTCACCTGAATGACACATAATCTTTGTGATTAAAATGCACCTAAGGCCACCAACCCTAAGAACCTGCTTTTTTTGGACCCACCAAATGATAAAATGTTCTCTATGCCACTTTCTAAGATAAACACCCCTCCCCAAATTCTAACCCCTAGGAATCCGAACCAACTCTGCGACACCTATAAAACAAAACAACAACAAAAAAAGAATTTCCTTTCTCCATGTCTATTTACTGATTTAGGAGATCTAATGAGAAACTTAAAGAAACTTAGAGATAGCTTTCTAGGCTTAAAAGTCCTGCATTTATAATAAGAAAGGGCCTGCTGAAGTAAAATGTAAGATTAATATTCCATCAAGGTTAGAGTGTCTAATAATAAATTACTGTCAGGTGATTATCTGCCTGATGAAAAACGTTTCCATCTCTCAGTTTACTTGAACGTGTGCTTTTCTGCCTGAGGAGATTCATATCATAAATTGACATTTGGATTACTAAATCTAAACAACATGGGTTACTTAATTAGTTGAGGATTTTTAAATGCTATAGTTTTCCTTTCCATCCCAGCTTTACATGCTTAATATTCACACTGGTGATTTTTTTTAATTCCAAGGAAACTTTTTTATCTTAGTTTTCACTATGTTACCTGACAGATTTCACTTCTGTTACAGTTATTTAGTCCTTAAATCAGTAAACCAAAGGTTCCTGTTCACAAACCTAATTCCAATTGATACCCTTCACTTGATTTGATCTTTTTGTGCATTGGTTCCACCAAAAACGCTAAACATTTATCTCTATCTGATAAATAAAATTATGGATGCATTATTGACACCAGCAAATTACTGCTGTTTTGTTGTTGTTGTTGTTATTGTTTTAAATGTAAAGTTCATTCAGTCTAAGATATTTTATTCTAAACCTAACAGTTAAAAACAACAAATAGCTTTGAAAGTGTAGTATTAGCAAAGTCCTTGAAAAATCACTAATGGGATTCCCATGATCTAATACATGTAAGGCTTTAACTGTAACTATAAACCCACTGAAGGCTTATGATCTGAAAGTATGGAATATTGTAGCCAGTTTTTATGGGTTTAATTCCACTGGCAAATCCTAGTATCTATATTTTAAATCTCAACCAGAGCAAAATTACAGCACATTTTCAAAAGAGCAATTTAGAGAGACACAAAGCAATGGAATGATACGGCAAAGAAAACGACTGCCAACAGCCCACACTTCCAGAAACCACCAATGAACTTCTGAAAGCACAAGACTGAGCAAAACTATAGCCCATGATACATGTGCAAGTCATTTTTAACATTCACAAAACTACATATGAATCACTTTATTTTCTTCAGATTTATTTCCCACACAAGGTTCAATAAAACCTTACTCAACCTCAACTGATGACTGAATCACTGTTTTCTGAGGCTATTTATTACTCTTTTTCTGGCATGTTTTCTTCCATGATCCAATGCTGTGACTGCTATAAGCCAGGAAAAGCTGTCTTCAAGTCAACGCATGGCACAAAATCCCTGAAAGTTCTGCCAGCATTAAGCTGCACCTAGGTGTTTAGAAGCTGTTCTATTTTGTCCTAGGCATCTCACAGAATACTGTGTCTTAGTGGAAGGCATTAAGATTTGGTATTAAAAAGACCCCCTTTTTTTCCAAAGGGATCTGAGTTATTGCAGCAAATTATACCTCATATTTGTCTTTCAATACTACCAACTTCTTAATGTTTTTGAGATTGTTGCTGATTTCTAAATGGCAATATGTTTTCATTCTAATCAAGATTACTGTTATCAAACTTAAAAATAAAACCAACATATTAAACACTAAATTAATTCTAAACATATTTCATAATTATATTCAAAGCAAAACTCAGCATACCTCTTCCCTATCCAATAAAACCGGACTACTTATTCAAGGGTCTACATAGAACAGACACAGCTAGCCCATTGCCGTCCAGTCAATTATGGCTCATAAAGACTCTGTAAGACAAAGTAGAGCAGCCTCATAGTATTTCCATGGCTGTAAATCTTTATGGCTGTGGGAGAAAGATGTGGCAGCCTGCTTCCATAAGGACTTACAGCCTTGCAAACCCTATGGGGCCGTTCTACTGTGTCTTACAGGGTGGTTGTAATTCACTGGATGGCATTGGGTTTGGTTTGGTGGGATTCCTTACAGAAGCAGACTGGCCGTAACTTTCTCCTGTACAGAGAGTAGTGGGTTCCAACGGCCAACCTTTGGTTAGCAGAACAGCACTTAACCACTGGTTTTATATATTGTTTTTTTTTTAATTCAATGTTACAAGTCTTTCTATGAGACATAATTCCACTTTGTTGTTTTGTTAAGTGCAGTAGAGTTGCTTCCAACTCACAACAATCCTGTATAGGGTTTCCGAGGAGAGGCTGGTGGATTTGAACCACCAACCTTGTGGTTCGCAATCCAGTGTTTACCTTATGGGCCATTTTTATTTTGAATAGGTGTAATTCAATATATAATAGTTTTATATCCCATATATATTTAGGAAAAACTTGTTTAAGATATATCATTATTATCTACTTACTAAATTGCCCTGTAGGGATTATCATGGAACCAACAGAAAATATAGGAATCCAAACATAGTTCACTAGCAGCATCTAGCCTGAATGCTCCCGGAAATGTCTTTCAAAACCTGATGGCTCTTCACTTTACTTTTTCAATGTAAGTATAATTTAATTAAGGGTGTATCTCATGCAATCCATTCAACACACACTCAAAGGGTTCTTTTGGTTTGAGAGTACAGAATTTTCACTTCAATTAAAAGCCCAGTAAATAACTTCACTGATAAAAATAGCTTTGATTTCTTATTTTCTTCTTCTTCTTTATGCCTATATTTCTACAGCCTAAATCCTCTTGATGTCAAGGCACTTTGAAACGTAAAGTTTTTCTTGATACATTCAAAGTTTCTTAAATACCTTTGGTTCATTCAAAGTTTCTTAAATACCTTTGGTTTCATGTTCTACAAAAACCTACCACTTTCCAATGTTTCTTAAATTCTCTTTATCGTTCCTATTCACCTTAGCTCTTGTGCGCAGAGGAAAGAAGATTTAAGGTATGTTTTTAGTTATCCTTTCTGTTTGGAATCGCTTAAAACAAACGCGGGTTGTGCCACAAGGCAACATACTCCTTAGAATTGCTTCAATTAGAATCGTTTCAGCCAGCTTCAGAGAATCCTGGATTTTGCCGAGAATCTCGGGATTTACTTGCAAAATTTCCAGGGGATGTAGCAGGGGATTGAACAAATTAAATCAAGGTGAGAAACAGGCCACCAAATTCAAGTAGAAAACAATAATGCTACTTCCTGAAACGATTTAGGCGCTGAAACCAATTCAAGCATTTGAACTTCTGAGTGAAAAACCACACTGCGGTGAAGAGAAGGAAGAAACCACCTCTTCTTCCGAGCAGGGCACTCAGGCGTTGCACGAGCGGCCCATATTTAAAGCATGCTGGGTCATCTCACTTTCAAGTGCAACAACTACCCTGGTCCTTCCCATCCGGGGGTAGGCGCCTTTGTAGTGCCCACCACAGGCCAGTCTAGTCCCCTTGCAGGGCGCAGAGAGAAAAAAATCCTTTAGGCCCCCTTCCTCTGGATCTGCCGTCTGAAGAGAGTGGCAGTAGGGCGACGAACAAGGGCAGGACTCCCGCATCCCACTCACCCCGCGGCGGCCGTCTTACCAGTGCAGGAGTGCAGAGGCTTGGGTCGCACAACCAGCGATGGGCATACTGAGTAGAGGGAAAGTTTCTCAAAGTAGTCGCAGGTTTCCTTGGAGAGGATCTCGTCGATCATGAAAGTCTTGTAGCGCCGCCTGGCTGCTTTGAGCTGACCGGGCGAGCTCAGCCGCAGCTCGGCGTGGCAGTGCATGGTGAACGGCCCGGGGGAGGCTAACACGTCGGTCCGGGCTCGTCCGATCCTGGGCGGCCGCGGGGAGCGGTGCGGGCTCGGGAGGCGAGCGGAGAGAACCGTGCAAGGAACTCACACTCCGCCGTCTATACCCACCCCGCAGATAAGCATCTTCGCTGAGCCTTTTTGGGCCAACGCAGCTGTCAATCTGCGCGCGCTTCCTGCCGGGCCTGGCGGGGCCGCGCGGCCCGGCGTGCAGTGTGCGAGGAGGGCCGACCGGCTGACCGCTGGACGTCCGCCCCGGGCAGGGTTCTGTATTCTTTGCGGCCGCGTTACAGCTCGCCTCCTCCTGCCTCTCGCCGTCTAGCGCGTTTTCGACCGTCTCCCTATTTTAAGACACTCGCTTTGGCTCTTCTCCCCACCCCCTCCTGGGACAAGCTCCAGGTGTGTGTCCCAAGTGTGCGCGCACTGGGTGCGCGCAGGGCGAGAAGAGCGCGCACCGCCCCCGCCCACCGGCGAGTCTCTAGCTGCCGCTCCCCAGGGCCGCTCTCCCTAAACCGCGCTCCCGGCGCGAACCTTCGCGCCCTTTCTGCGCCCGCGCCGGCCCCGCTCAGCTGCTTGCGACGCTGGAGGTCCAGCTTATCCTGAGCTAGAAAGAGGTCAAAGCCTCACTTAAGTTCCCGAAGCTGCTGGCTCTCGAGCCTGCGCCCCCTGATGACCAAGCGTACTTTACCCCTAACTTACCCTGGCCCCCGCACTCCATGTGGGCTGTTTCTCCGAGACTCCGAGACGCACATGTTTTGCTCCGCTATGGCACCACACGCTGCAAGTTTGGGCGTTTTCGCCGAGGTGGCAAACTTGACTGCCCTGCTCAGAGACCTCCCAAACCTTAAGTGACCATTGCTCTGTCTGCTGCCCCCATAATAAGCCGAAAGAAAAACAAAATTAATGAAGCGTGAGTTCCTTTTTAATTTTTAATTATGTTATTTAAATTTTCCCCTCTAGAAAGTGCTCTAACAACGTGGTTTCAGGGTCTTTTTAATGATCGTAGCCGTCAGCCCACGTTGGTGACTTCTCCAAGCTCCGGATAGTAAGCGCAACGCCGATTTCGTTTCCCAGGTGCCGCAACAGCGGCAGAGCTTCAGGAGCCGACAAGAACAAGTACATGGTGCTTTTTGCTTTTTTCCTCCTGTGAACTTATCCTCCGAGTCTTTCGCAATCAGTAGCGGTACAATTTTTTTTTTCTCCCCAACAGAATTTGTCCAGGTGAAGGTACAGGAGTGATTGGAGTCTGGGAGTTCAGCCTTCAGCACTCGTGATGACTCGCCACCTCGTCCAGCCACCCGTACGGATTCCCTCCCACGCACTCTTTGGTCTGAATTGGCATCAGAAGGAGGGGGGCAAAGGATAACTCAAAATTAAAAAAACCGAAATTACAGACGCGGGTCGCTCTCCGGTACTGAATTAGGGCCGGTTACGTTCTCTTGCTGGTCGCATACTGGCGGCGGGGACAACCTACTTATCGGCGTGGCTGGTGAGGGAGCTGCCCTCGGAGGTGACTATGTCAGAGCTAGATGACGCGCCTGCCAAGGGATCTATGTTAGATGAATAGGAAAGAAAGAAAAGGGATACAATGGGAGCGCTGATAATTAGACACTTGGAGAAAAATAGATCTAAATAGACCAAGAAACAGTCAAGCATTAGATAGGATCCATAGAGTGCGTCCTTTAGGAGCCTAGCCGGTGTTTCTGTGCCCTGGCGCCCCTTCCCGCCACTCCAATTAGAATTGTTTTCGTTTATTTTCCTTCTCCAGGAAGAAGCAGGTGTAAGGCCGGCGAGCATCTCGGCCTGGTTTCCTGGCAGGGTGGCCGCGCGGGGCTGGGGTGCGCACCCGGCTTTGATCACCGAGCTCCGGTGTTCAAGCCCAGCCTGCCTGTCACAACCCAGGACTTTATCCTGGCGCAGGCGGGAAACAAGGTCTGGGGCGCAACCCGCCGCTGCAGGAGATGAGTTGTAGGAGTGCGGTGTCCGCTTTGAGGATCCATCCTTGGCGAGAAATTCTATTTGCCCCCCCCCCCAAAAAAATGAAAAACTATGGGGAGCGGCAGAGAAATTGAGGAGGCGATCCGAGGGCGCACAGCTTGGGGGGCATCCTCAAGGGCAACTCGGACCGAGAGCTGCAGGTCCCGCACCTGCGCACAGCCTCTCCATTCAACCAGGGCCACCAGAAGGACTGAGTGTTACCCGTATGGATGTTTTCCGTCAGGTGCTCCCGGTAATCCGCGCTCTCTGGGTTGTTCCTCTGGACCCTATCTTTGCATTGCTGCCTTTTCCCTCAACCCATTTTCTCTTCCTCTTAACTTAATCCTCCTCTCTGTGCTTTCTCTTTCCTTCCACCATTACTAACGCCTTCCCTTTTTCCTTTCCATTTCTCCCTTTGCCCCCATTGTACGCTGAACGTTTAGCGGCCTTTTTTCTCTTCAATCCTACTTTCTTCTCCTTTATCTCCCATTCTTAATGTCTTTTTCTTTCTCCTGGTCTCCTTTTTCTCTCTTCGTTCCCTCTTTTCATTCCCGGTCTAGAATAAGTTCCTGTGTCCCGAGGTGAATGCTGCTACTCAGGACGAACAATTCTCCTTGACTCTATCCAGACTTTTTACTAATCTGAAATCCGAGGTCTTTAAAATCGCTAAAGAATAGCGAACATTTAGCCCCTTGGATTTTCCATCATTTTTATTTTCTACTCTTAAGTAAGAAATCTCAGCTAAGAGAGCGAATGAGGGTGGCCACCTCTGCTCTTAGAAATTTGGTGAGGTCCCTTACCATCAACTGAGCATGATTTTTTGGTTTGTTGTTCTTGTTATTTCCCTTGAAAAAGGCAATCATAAAACCTGCTTTACAAAGTTGGCCTTTCATAATCTATGCCTTTACACAAACTGTTTGCTGAAAAAGTAGTTCAAGATCCATCTCAAATAACAGCTCCTCAGTGAAGTCTTTCCCCACTCTCCAAAGCCATCCATTGCTTTTCCTTTAATGCATTCTAATATTCTTGGGTTTTTTATGTTTATTTCACCCCCACCCCAGATTTATGTATCATTATGATTCATCTTATGTCACTAATACCAAGGAGCTCTGGAGGTGCTGCAGAATAAGCAGTGAACTGCAAACCACAGCTCTGCTGGAGAAAGATGAGACTTGTTCCCATACAGATTTACAGTCTCAGAAACTCTGTACAGAGTTGCTATGTAGAATCCACTCAGTGGCAGTGGAGTTTATCACCAATACCAGTATAGCACATAGTGGAGTCACAGAAAATGTATGATGAATAAATAAAAGCATGTGAACTGAGTTAAGTAAATTACATAATATATGTCAAAGATCTGACCACATTACAGGACCTCACATCATAAATGTTGCTGTGTGCTGTCGAGTCGGTTCCGACCCATGGTGACCCTGTATAGGTTTTCCCAGGAAGCTTGAACCAGCCAGCCAACTTTGCAGTTCAAACCAACCTTGCAGTCCAGGACATTAACCCACAGCGCCCACATCTTTACTGGAGCAGAAAGCCTCATCTTTCTCCTGGTAGTTTTGAACTGCTGACCTTGAAGTTAGCAGTGCGATTCATAACCACTACACTACCAGAGCTCTTAAATAGTTGTACTAAATTTCTCTCTCTTTAAATGATTTTCCCTCTCTCCTGTCTTGATGGTTTTATGTTCATTGAGCCACTGCATTCCCTTCTTCCTCTCATCTCCATCCTTTTATTTCTGTCTCTCCTGTTTTCAGACTATAATGGGCTTCTGTGGTAAGATGCACACCCCAGCTGTCAATCACAAAGTGGGGTTTCGGTCAAGAATAATCAAGGGTTTTGTTTCCAACATTAATGAAGTGCCTGAAACAGCAAACATCTGCCAAAGGGACTCAAACCTTTTCCAGCTGCCGGAGACCCACAGACACTTCCCCGCCTCTTGTGACTGTATCCAAGTAGTGTCTGCCCCACACACTCGGCTGCACTTAAAGCAGACACAGAAGGAGATAAAAATCCACACCTTCCAGAACTGGGGGGGGGGGAACATCCCCCACATTTGGTACCTAATTTCCTGGAAATAAAGCCCAGTCAGAGTAAAGGCCAAAGACACTTTTGCAAAGGAAGGGATGGAGGCTCTAACAATCAGAAACTGAATAACCCCTCTTTTCGATTTCACCTCACACAGCTACAATTGTGTGAAAATCAATAAAAGAAAATTGTTTATAAAAACCCTAGGTGACAGTTACATGGACTCAGCTTGTTTTAAGTTTAACTAGCCTTTTTAAAAATCTGACTATGTGTCGATGTAAATATTAAAAAGCAGCCAGGACGTAAGACTTATAAATACACTAATTCATTTTTCCAATCATCTTCTTTCTGAAATGCGAGGAGGGGGGGCGGAATGAAAGCCCTTTTTACATTCTAGTAAAATGTATTTAATAACTTGCATTTCAGTCACTAAGTTTTGAAATAGTTTCAGACATGTGAAAGTAAAATAAGGGAAAGCTTTGTAAGTTAATATCCCCCTGGGCCCCAGGGCCCTGCCAAAACTGCTGTGTGTGGAGCCCAGCACACTGGCCCTGCATCATAAGAAGCTAAGGGAGGTGGACAAGAAGGCTAGCTTATTTTTAATGATGATATTAATTTACAAAAACAGTAAAGCATCATTTTAAGAGAGGGCACAAATGCAGTTCATGTGACAAATGGACTTGGAAAGGTCTGAATAGACTCTTCTATGGTTTCTCAAAACATCTTTCTCGGGGGAAAGTTTAAACTGAGAAAGAATAAGACAATAGCTGTGTCTACAGAACACTGAACATTTACATTACCAGTAAAAATATAGTAAATCACCCACATGGTTCCAAATTTTTACTCAATGGCACTGGCATTTAACAACAACAAAGTATGCAGATTAAACTCATTTGTTTTGCTGATTATTTCTGCTTTTTAATTGGACTATCCTGTCAGTCATCTCTATAATTTAATTCTCTCAACTGATAAAATAAC